CCCGAAACGGCGGGGAATTGTTTCCTCTCCCCTCGCCGGTCCCTTTTCTCTCCTCCTCTCCTTTGCTTTGCAGATCCCCTTTGCGGGTCGCCAGGACGACAAAGCGGGGAGTTTGCAAGGAATAAGGAAGGAATAAAAGCCTCCATGCGTGTGATTTGCGTGTGTGTGTGCGCGCCCGCTTCGGGGAAAGCGATCCCGGCGGCTGGAAAGCAGTTTTTAAGGCCAACTGCGAAAGCGGGACATACCCGCCAGAGAAAACGCAGTTCTCCCCTAAACACTCTCGGAGATTTTTTGGTAACCGTCCGCGGCTACGGTTAAAACCTGAATATTTCAGGGACGCGAAGAAATCTCACTCTTTTGCTTGACAGAAGAGGAACGGGAGATGGGGTGAAGTAAACAAAAAATTCAGTTAACCAAAAAGCCCGCTAAAACCCAGACTAAAACAAACATTGCTTTTAGCAACAATTCAACATCTCCAAGAAAAACATGGCTTAATAGATACAAAATATGCTTGGCCTTAAACATGTCTTTTTTTTTTTATTCCACTAATGGAATTAAACCAAAAATCAAAATCAGCCGTGCCAGAGCCGAATATTTTCTTTTTCATTCTGCAATGATTCCTTTTTCCTATTCTTTCCTTTCTTTTCTTTCCCTTTCCTTTCATTTTTCCTTTCCTTTCCAATAAAAGCACTCTGTAAGGGATTTTTTTTGTGGGGGCCAATTGTTCTCCAGGAGGAAAGAGGACTACGGAGGAAAAATATAAATTCCCCAAGCAACACGCTGAAATGGAGGGCACTGCGTGATCTCCCGGCCTTGGGCTGAAAATATTTTCTGTTAAAAGAAGGGGGAGAAAAAAACCAAAACCCCCCAAACCCACATCAGCTTTGATTTGCCTAACATTTCCAAAACAGAGCCGACTTCAGAGAGCCCGTCGGGCTTTGATGCCAGAGTGGGGTGGAAATCACATCAGAAATAGTCAAAAGAGCCAGTTACAAAAACATTGGTTTGTAAGAAAAGTTAAACTGGGATATTATTTCCTTTACAGAGAAGAGAGACATTCCCTCCACATTCTTCCCCGCATTCCACTTCGGAGCTCGGGAGAGATCAAATTGTCCATCTGTACTCTATTGCTAATGCTCCTGGATCCTATTTCTTGTGCCCATAAAGCTTTTACAGGCCTGCTACCTTTAGGCTATCTGAGTTAGGGTTATTATCCAGCAAACAACTCACTTTTTTTTAATATACATGCAGCAGTTTCAAATAACTTCCTCTCAAAGCCTCCTGTTTTCTCTTAGCAAGCAGAATTTCCTGGTCTTTTTAAAGTTTGTATTTTCTTCCTGCCTCTTAAGTAGACAGAAAACATTACATTACTATTAATACAGTTATTTGAAATAACTGCTCCCAATTTTGATGGGATTGACTCAGACCAAAAAGGAGTGTTTATGCTCTATGACATCATTATTTCTCTCTGCGTGTGATTATTATTAGTTTAATCCAATGTATTTATGGAGGAAAGGGGAGAAATTAGATCAATTCTTTCCTCACTTCAGCTTTTTTTGGCATTCAGGAAGGGAGGGACGGTGGGGAGAGGAGCCGAGCGAGTGGCGGGGCGGCAGGAGCGGGGCAGGGGCGATGCCTTCCCCGCCGGGCCCGGCTCTCCCCCGGCAGGAGCCCTTCACCTCCCCCTCGGAGCTGCACTTTTTATCCCAAATCGCTTTGCTCGGAATAAACCATTACATTCTGCAGCGGGGCCGGGGGCGGCGGGCA